GATAGATAGATAGATAGATAGATAGATAGATAGATAGATAGATAGATTGATTAGACATGCAGGCAGTACACTACATACACAATAAATGAACGAACGAATAAATCTTAAAGATAAAAACCTCTTAATTGAAAAAGAAAACATGGCCATGAATGGTGACACACACCTTTAATCCCAGCACTTGGGAGGCAGAGGCAAGTGCATCTCTGTGCACTGGAGGCCGGGTTAGTGTACACAGAGTTCCAACCTGTCAGGACTACACATGTGTGCATGTGAGTGTCACAACCATGTATCTTCGGTCGCAGGGGATTCGATTCCTTCTTGTACCAGGACCCTGTACACATGTGGTGCACAGACATATATGCAGGCAGACCACCCCTACATGCTCTCTAGACTCACCTCCAGACTGGTCTGAAACTCACAGGGGTCAGCCTGCCCCTGCCTCCCCAAGTGCTGGGATTACAGGCGTGCAATCCTTGCCTGGCTTAAAACACCATTCTCAATATCTACAAATCTGCTTGGTGACAATACTGGCAACTTGACACTAATATTTCAAATTAAGAATCAGAAAACTTTAAAAAAGGAGGGTGTACTAGAGGGATGATGGATGGCTCAGCAGTTAAGAGAACGGGCTTCTCTTCCAGAGTGCTCAGCCACCCATATGGTGGCTCACAATTGTCTGTAATCTCCAGAGGGGATCCAACACCCTCTCTGGTCTCTGTGGGCACCAGGCTTAAATGTGGTGCAAGCATACATGAAGGCAAAACACCTGTAACAGTAAATATACTACTAAATTAAAAAAAAAAAAAAAATCAGCCAGGTGGTGGTGGCATACACCTTTAGCCCAGCATTCAAGAGGCAGAGGTAGACGGACCTCTCAGTTTGAGGCCAGCCTGGTCTACACTGAGCGAGTTCTAAGACAGCCAGAGCTGCATAGAGAAACCCCGTCTCACAAAACAACAAAAGAGGAAGGGAGAGAGGGAAAAAGAGAGGGAGGGGGAAAAAAGAAAGAGGAAGGAAGGAAGGAAGGAAGGAAGGAAGGAAGGAAGGAAGGAAGG